CGAGTTAACCCGATCGCTATGGCCCTCGAGCGTCTGCAGGCACGCACTCCAGCCGTTGCTCATAGCTGGCTTGACGGCTACTCCCCTAGGCTCTTCGTGCTGGAACAGCCTTCTTACTATGCTATCAGCTGGACTGAACAGCAGAGCAGATGCGTATGCCTGTAAAGGATAGTTCTCGATCGCCTCCTTATGATACATAATAAACCGTCGTGCATCGTACACGATCTTGTTCAATACGTCCGTGTCTCTAAGTCCCTAGCTACGTTAGTAACTACACTGTGAAGGCCGTGTATAGATGTAGTTGTGTTAGCCGTACCTGGACTAGATCCCATAACCTTGTCATCGAGACTACCCCTTTGGCCATGCTTCTGCACAAACTAAGCGCTTCTAGCCAGTAGAGATATTTTTGCTTAAGAAACACGTCTATAGCTGTAGTGATTTCTTGATTAGTAGCACTAGGTTTCGAGTCGCAGAAGTGGTCAACCCAGTACACACATGGGTAGTGCGACACGGCTAGAGGATCGGGAAGAAGTGGCTTAACGTCTTCTATAGCATATCCAGGCGCTTGAAGGTTGTATACATCTCTGCGTAGTGTCTCGTGCAGAATTGCAAGTGATTTCGCGAAGATATCTTGATGCACACATTCTATACCGTCTAGAAAGACGTCGTTTAACGCTTTTGTAACAAGGAAGTCCTTAGCTGATTGATGCACAAAGTACACCGTATCGTCTCGCAGCGTTAGGAATGATCCGCAGAGACCAACGATCTCCCGCACGGACTCTAGATCATTAACAAGGTCTGCAAGTTGCTTAGTTAATATAACTAGCTCGCTAACTGTGACCGGTCGATATAGGACAGCAGCCACTGCTAGCACCCGCAGACATCTTCGAGCGCTACTAGACTTGCGTATCTGGTCTAGCATCTGCCTATAAAGTGAGTCTAAACCAGGCGGAAACTGGGCTAGCTTCTCTTGCACGTCCCACTTTGGCGTCGCTTTGAGGTCTTGGCACACCAACGCAACCCAGAGGAAAGTGTCGTTCGCGTTCGACATTAAGTGCTGGAGCACCGCGTCTTGCACCTCTGGCGTGTAGCGCTTCTCTTGGGCTAGGCGACACACCTTCTGCCGGATAAACACATCTACTGCTGCAGCCACCGACTCGGCGTTCAACTCAAGGCTGAGCCTCATTTTGTGCTCAGCACGCTCCAGTTCTTCCTTAATATCTGGCCAGTTGCGACTAGATACGATCCACTTGACACGAGAGGACGCAGACGACTGCTTCGCGATAAAACTGAGCAATTTTGGTAAGTCTGTCGCGCATTCGTCGAGCGCGTCAATAATTAGGCACGTTGTGCCTAGGCCTGCATCTTGCAGCACGTCGGCAAAGATTTCCGTCAGGGCGACCCA